GAAATAACTTATTAATGCTACATCAAAGTCAAAGTTCAATGCACTAAACTTGGTTTGTTTACATTCGAATCAGAGGTAAGATCTACGCGCGGCTATAATGCAACACCATTGGATTGACTGACACACGTTCGACGAACGCAGGCGCACTTATGCCACTAAATTCAAAGAAATCCCTTGTTGACCTTAACTTTGAATTGTCAAAATAAAAAGTTCAATATTTTAACAAATATTTATGTTTTGCCATTATTCAAAATTATATGCACCTTTGTTCAATTCAAAACCTCAGAAATAATAATAATTATAGTAATAACTTGAAAAACCATTCAACAGTTGGTTTGGTAAAAGAAAGAAAATAAATCTACAGAAGTGTTAAGCATTTAAAAATAATTTGTATGAAAAATATCGATCTTTACACACAAAATATAAATAAAAGCACATAGATACATAGATACATATGTAAAGAAAAAGGTCTTGGCACAATCTAGTTCACAAATGTGTGTGCAGCGGCGTTTCTTATGTCACAAACTTTACCGCGAGCAATTTCAACATATTCAACTTGCAGATCTGATCGCCATAATCGCCACAAGATACACATGCCATAGATATTGTATCTCTTGTATGAAAAATGGTACTTCATATTAATGTGTGTATCTGAATAATGAATGAATGGAACAGAGCCATGGTATTTGGTTTGGTTCGGTATATTTATTTCTTGGTTTCTTTACTGACAGTTGAGCTAAGCTGGTTCGCTGCTGTTTGGTGCCATGCCTAACGCAATGACATTGACTTGAGGTTTCTGTTTTGTATATTTTTATATTCTTTTCTACTCTTTGTTTTTGTACTTCAGCATGTGTGGGCATATCTATCAAATATTTTCCTCACTTCATAGTGCGGTGGAACCTACTTCTGTTATAAGAAAAAAAAATATCAACTATAATACCAGTTAATTTCTATAATATTTTTTGTTTTTTGTTTTTTTTACTTTTGTTGGTTCTACTAAAAACTTCATTCATGATTAGTCACTTTTATTGTATTATAGGCTTGTAAACGCGCGTACATATAATTTTGTCTTCTATTTCCCCCTTGTATCTTGTTTTGGTTATTCAGAAGATAAAACTAAAAGCATTTCAATTTTGTATCTGCTCTTTTTATAATTTTGCTAGTGGGTGCACTTCTCATGTTTTTTTATTTGTACTTATTTATTTACTTAATATCTTGCTTCTATAATTTTCTTGTTTTATTAATTGTAAAATTTTATTAGTGGTAGCAAGCATAGCATTTCTAACAGCTAACAGCTTTTTTATATACAAAATATACCAAAGAGTAAATAAGATTTTTGCGTGGTATGTAGCACCACATGTTTATGCCGTTTGTCCTTCAATTACTCAATACTTGCATGCAAATGTGTTGCTAGATTTCATGTCTGTTTGTTTCTTTGCTGTGATTTGATATTATCTGCAGATTTATAGAATCCATATATGTACTTCCGTAAATTTTTTTTAAGTTTTCACAACGGCTTATGTGTGATAACCAATGGAAGATGGTTCAGTTTGTTGCGTTAACTCAAGTACTCTACACAAATGTTAAAAATAACGCCCTTTGAAATGCTGCAAGAAACTCATATGTAATTGTTTTTTGAAAAAATTATATTGGCAAGGGTGGTTACGGATCGATCCAAAAGGAACCACTTAGGTCTATTGGATAATTGTGTCATTTTATAAAGGAAAACTCTGAGGTTTAAAAACCATCTTGAACCTTTGAAAATCTTAAAGTGCTATTTAATAGGAGGTCTTAGAATTGGCCAAGATCCTTAAAAAAAGAAAGTCTTTAGAATAATAAAGAGGTGCGGATATACGCTAAACAAAAACAAAGCAGATGTGAGACACTTTCATAGTCCTCTGCACAACAGCGACAGGAATGAATAATAAAAAGATTCAATCTTTTAGCATGGTTTCCTTAACTATTATGATCTGTTAGCAAATCTATTATTAGACTAATATCTATCTTTAAGGGGCATCTCAGTGAGAATGTTGGATTACTTTTTAATAGAACGTGATCAATTTGCATACATATCATACATAAATGAATTTGCGTACATAAATGCCTACATATCTGTGACCAAAGACCCAACTTAGAGAAATGTTGAACTGTGTAGACATCTCATTTAGAGATGTGTAGTAGTCAAAAACCGTCCTAGGCAAAAATTTGACTGCACTCAATGACTTTAAAGTAGTTTGACTATGTTATAGAATGTATGTATTCTTATTAACTTGCAAACAAGCTATAGCTTTCCTAATGACTAGATTGATAAGGATCAAATAAAAAAATCTGTTACCGTATCAGTATATTTTCACCCTGAACCTCTCAAGGGGTCTTCTCTGTGGAGCATTTTGATTATTTACTCAGGTTTTTCCGATCAACCATGGAAAAAAATCTGAAATACAAATAATTAGGAACAAAAAGAATTATTAGACCGATTCGAATAGCAAAGAAAGACAAAGACAAAAATTTCCAAAGACCACTGCTGAAGAGTACAGCGTTGTATGGTCAGCCAAATTTCAACAAATTACATAAAAAAATTTTTGTCTTTGCCTTTCTTTGCTATTCGAATCGGTCTAACTTTTAAATAGTTTCTTTCGTGATAAAAAGATACGCCATTATCGGCAAGAAAAAATTTACCTTAAAAAAGAATTATTATTTCAGCTTATTTAAAAGTTAGTTATACAAAAACCAAATTTGTTTCACAACTTTAAATTATTTAACAAAGCTTTCAAAAAATGCCTTCTTTCATATATTTATTCACACATGCCATCAGTTCATATAGAAAAAATTTCAAAAAAAACTCTATATTTCTTAAATCTTACGAATTTAAGGTTATAATTACACTAGTTTACAGCTAAAATATATATTTAATGTCACTATGGTATTTAACAAGAATCATATTGAAAAATTTTGTTATGGATGGGTTTTCAAAACATGTTTTTAAATATTTCTTTCAATCTATTTGATGGTCACTTGCCATTTTTACCAAATCTCGCTAGCAACTCTTACCTCTCTCATCCTCAATATTCTTCGTAATACATAATTTTTAAATATTTTGTTATGGTGTAAATTTTATAGTATTCATAATAATTCATTATATCATTAGAAGTGTGTTAATTCTAATATCAAATATATATTAATGTCTTAATAATTCTATTAAAAATGTATTTATATTAATTCCATATATGTATTAATCAATTCTAATATCAAAAAAAATTTTATTTATAAAATTAATAAATTTATTTAACTAGTAATAATCTATTAAAAAGCATATATTCAATATATTACTAATGAGCATGACGCATTTAAGCTTTAATGTAGGAGTCTTACTTGACTACTTCAAAAAAAAAGACGAGTTTTCTGCAAAATATATGTGCGTTTATTTATACCAATTTGAGTATAAATATTAAAATAAATAATTCTAGTTTGAAAGAAAAAACACACTTGTGGACTTCCATTCATGCTCCCATGTACAACCGAAAATCTTGCTACATACTTGTATAAAAATATTTCCAAATAAAAATAAAAAAAATTCAAATGCATATTTTAAAGAAATTTGTGTAAGAAAAAAATAAAAAATAAAAAATAAAATATTTATTAACGTGGGCAAACCATATAAATGACCAAAATGTATGCGCACAGTGTGGACTAACAACGGCACAAATTACTTCATTAGTTACATTCAGTGCGAGGAAAAAGATTCATGCATCATGATGCACCATCTCGTGAAGATATATAAACAACTGTTGACATTTAATAGCCAATTTAGATTTAGGTTTAATTTCAGATTAAGTCAACGAATAAGATGCATAATTTTTACCATACCATACCATACAATAGAGAGACAATAATTTCAGCTATTCAACTAATTTATGACTTCATTTTAATATTTTAATTAAGCGCCTCTTTGTCATTCAAGACAAATTCATTTAAATACCTGTACCTTATATTTCTGCACTATACTGGAATGTAAATTTAGTAAAAACATGCATATATGCATATATACAACCTTTCATATCTGATTTTATATTTAAAAAATCGTTACATAGCACTTAAAACATTTGTTTCACTAATTAACAAAAAACACACTTTAAACATGTTTACATTATCATTGCAACGCTTAAAGTTCCATTTAATAAACTTAAAGTCAACAATAATCAAAAATGTACAAATATGCAATATCATGCACAATTTTTTAATAATGTTGATTTAACTTAATTTTTGAAATTTTAGTAAGTGTGATTTTTCTCACTTCATAAAACACGAAAAAAAAAATAAATTCAATCAAAAATTACAAAAATACAACAATTACGAAATGTTTATAAGCAATGTTGCCGCAACATGTCGAGAAACAAATAATAAGGCTTTATTATACACTTATTGTGTATTTATGTGTTAGTTAATGCATTTTGTTATGCATTTTGCACTATTTTTGTTTAATACAAGAATGCACAAAAATTTAACCATTTGTGAAATTTATGCAGCAGCAATAAATTACCAATATCGTATTGCATTAATTTAAATATGCAACACTTGCAGATGTGGAAAACATAATCTAAGCCATTTTTATTTATTAAATTTTTTGTGTTAACAAGTTCATTTTGAAAAATTCTACAATAGCTTAAAAGCAAAATTTTATTCTTTGGATATAAATCAATATTAAGCAATGCAATTTACAACAGACCCAACTGCATGCAACGTCTGTGGCATGGTTTATACTAACAAAAAATGTGGTCTGTTATGCAGAAATAGTAAACTGCAACAACAAAATTATTAATTTTTGCACATAAATTTCATAAATATTGTTGATAAATATTTTTGAACAAAAATGTTGAGATATTATCGTTCCACAATGCGTTGAAATAAAAAATAATTACTGTCAAATTAGTAATTATCTAAAATATTATTAATTTATATTTCTTAACAATATATTATACTATTTATTTATAATATATTTGCTTTTTTATTTTCAGAATCATCGAACAGTACTAAGGTAAGTCGAGTTTAGCAATATCATATGAATAGTAAATATTTATCACTGCTGATAGCATGCAATCCGATTTTATGGGATCAAGACATTTTTATCTGACACACACTTCAGAAATAATTGAAGTTAATTAATTTATTGATTAGAGAATGCAATACAGATTATAGATAAGATATTTTATATATATTGTTACTTCGAATTACTTTTGAACTAACCGTTGGGCTTAGTATGTATTATCACCTTTGCATTTGAATAAATCGTTATGTTACAAACCTACAAAAAACACATAGATTGAATTAATAACTTTATAAAAACTAGTTTATGTGGCCTATTTTAATTGTTTTCACCATAATTATTATTTTCTGATAATAATATAGAAAAATTTTTAAAAAAATTAAGTTAATTGCGTTTTATTAAATGCTATTAAATTAAATAAAAATTATATTAAATGCACTTTGTATTAACAACAAAAGTTATAACCCTTCATCCGATAAATAAATAACACTAATCAAAAAATCAATACTAATAATAATTACATTTGATTGTCAACAATATTTGAAGAAAAATTAAAAAAAATGAATAATGAAGAAGTGTATACTAACTGCTATTACTAAATATTAATAGTTCAGACAGATAGATGCTAGTAACAAGATGTCTCACTTCAACTCTTTGTGATAACACAAAGATCTTTTATAGCAGGATGTTAACTGATGATATATTAAATAGAGATACGCCTATTCTAGGCTTGGATTTAAAAATGAAGCAACGTCTTAAATGCAGATATTAAAGGTATCGCATATATATTTAAGGAAGTAAAAACCTATAGTAAATAGAAACATTTTGATGAACGCCACACAATGATAAAACAGATGAACAAGATTTTTATATACTTTTCATCCCAAAGAATTCTTATGCGGACAGCATAAAAACGAATTTTATTTTTTGTTGAGTAATTATTATTTTCTTTTTTGTGTCACTTTAATTGTATTATATAATTTAATATATATATTACTTTCATGATCCTATATAATAATTTAATTAAAAAGAACGAATCAATTCCTTGTAATAAAAAAATTAAAATATTTTTCAAATTTTTCTTATCGAGAGTAACGTGTCCTTATGACGAAAGCAAACTATATAAAAGTTAGAGGAGTTCAAATAGAAGTGAAAAGACGACAACAAAAATGTTAGTTAATTTAGTTTAGCAAATTTCAATAAATTAACTAAATTTTTGTTATCTTTTCATTTCTATTCGAATTCTTCTAACTTTAAAATATTTATTTATAAACTACATGAAATAAATTCTTTTGGAATTAATCTGATATAGTCACAATGCTCCCCTATTCAATATTATGATATTAATGTTACTTATATGGTCTTGAATTATAATTAAAAAAAAAGAGAAGAAATCAATTTCTTATAAAAAAAATGAAAATATTTATTTATTAATTACATGAATGCTTACTCATCCTAATGGAACTAGTAAATAAATTTCATGGTCCAAACAACAAATTATGCGTTCTACTTATCAACTGGTCAACCTTACCCATTAAACTTGACGCCACTTTTACTTATTTGGACTAAAGTCTAAATTTATACTATTCGTTGTCGAATTGACCATAAAAATTGCATAAAAATAAATAAAAATTTTATTTTTAAACATTGAGACCAAAAATCACAATTGACATTTACTAGCAATCAATAATTGGCGGAGAGGGAGATTATTACATATGCGGTGGTACTATAGAGTGTTGCAATAACACAAAAACATACCAATCATTGATGAAATTTAATGAATTTATTAATATAAATACGACAATATCCTTTTAATTCAAGTCTAAAAATTACAACGATATAAAAAATAATCGCTTATTTAAGTTGAAAAGCAGTTTTTTACCATTTTCGGAGTCATAAGGTCAACGTTGCTCTGCCACGATTTGCCGCTACAGTTGCGATCGTGTTAAATTGATGTGATTTTTTCGCAACTGCTAAACTGCTAAGCTGCTAAGTTGTGTTGAAAAGTCGCTGAAAACAATGACAATCATTGTGGAACCGAATGAGCATTGCAGACGCGATACGATGCATGATAAAGATTTGCATTTTTATAGGTTTTTATAAGACCAACCAACAAACAATGATTTAATGAGAATTTAATGTACAAACATTTAAAACTCAGAAATACACTTTAATTTAAATCTAGTAATCTCTCTCTCAGTGTAAGAGTAATGATAATAACATATTAGCTGAGAATTAAAATGTATCTTTTATATAGTCTAAATACAAATTTATTTCCTGTGTACAAGCATAGGATAAAGTTTTCACACAATATATTCAACATATATAATGAGAATTTAATGGCAAACATCTAAAAACTCTGATATTTTTTTTATGTTAATAGAAAATTATAGCTACATCAACAGATTGATAACTTCATCTATTGGGATGGGAATAACTTAATCCAATAGGCAAATTGTTTAAGAATTAAGATGTCATCAAAGAAAAAGTACAAATATTTTTTTTTACTTTTGCTTTTCAAATAATTTTATTCATTCTTAGTTATTTCTTCTTTACATTATATATTAAATTGTGTATTTATTTTGTAAATTAGCTTATATCACAGCTTTGTCCTCTTAGTATTATGTTTTTCCTTATCCTTATACATCATTTGCATCTTTTGAATCATCATTTTAAAGCCTTTTTTCTTCTCAGTATTTTTATCCATCATTTGTATCAATCACATCACCAGTTTTAAAGCCACCTATATATTCGCTAATGTTAGACATCAATTGATCAGCATCTCTACGCAGTTCTCTTTTCGTTATTAATTGCTCAAGCATCTCTCCAATTTCCGCGTTATTGAGTTCATTATTCTGGAGGTTGGTAAAGTTTTTAGTTTCTATTTCTTCGTTTTTTTGAATCTTAGACATAACATTTTCTAATTGATGAAGATTCTTTTGATTTGTGTCCAAACGTTCACGATAACCCTTTAAAAAGTTACCTAATTCTGACAATCTTAATTTTTGAGCAGACATTTTTTATGAAAGATTTTTTAAATAATCTCAAAATATTGTTTTAACTTAATAATTTGATCTTTTAAAGTAAACTATTACGATTTGAGATCAATATTTCGCTTTTAAAGGATTTTTTGTGAAAAATTTTTTACCTGTGATATATTTATTTTAAATCTAGGTTTCCACTGTGGTTATTTTCCACTGAAGGAATAATTAGGTTTTCAAGGTTTCACCTAAACACTGACTTAATGAATGCAAAAATAATATTTAGAACGTTTAATTTTATGATCTTTTTAGGGGACTATTTACTTAAAAAAGGAACTGTTTATTTATAGACACGCATGCTTTATCAAACTCATTACCTAAGATTATATATGTTTTGGCAATTTTCAGAAATTTGTTTTTTAAATTTTATTATTATGTACCTATAATTGGATCTTTTACCGTAAGTCGTAATTTAAGGACATTTAAATTAAAAAAGGATAACATATATGAAAATTTTATTGTTTAACGATTATAAAGGAACAATAACATAATTAGTTACGTTCCACAGTAAATATTTATTTTTTTTGGTTTAGTCTATGCTAACTGTAAGAAATGATTGATTATAAATATATTTATTGAATATATTAATACTGGCGATCTTTAAAATTAAAATTACTCCTGAATTACTAAGAGATGACAGAGAGAATCTACTAGATATAAATTACAGTTATTTTGAAAATATCAAAAAAATATATCAAATGGTATTGAAGGATCATTGAATAAGAATCAGAGTAATTGCTGAGGTTAAGAACATTTTGCTTTACCGCAGTAGAAAATGATTTCATAAGAATATAAGTATGTGGAGACTCTTTGCATGTATGGTTCATTGCTAAACCTCTGTTAGCAAGATTTGAACAAAAAAAAGCTGAACTTTTTTAAGAAACTAGTTATTATTGATCCACCAGTTCTAGTACTCTGTTAGAAGCATTTAAGTTAAAATCGTTAGGATTTTTAGACAGATTAATCCAGAGACCAAAAAAATTGAAATAGTGTTTTTCTTAAAAGGAAAGGTGGTCCGAAAAATGCAGATACTAGTCTTAGGCACTATTTTTTTATATCAAGGGCTTATTGCTGATTAACTAACTTAAAAATAAAAGCATTTCATATAAGCATTAATAAATAATGTTTACACTCCTTTACTTCTATTAGAAGGATTTGGACAAAAAAAAGCTACACTTTTTCGAGAAACTTATTGTTTATCAACCAGTTTTAGCATTCTATGTTATTAAAAGCATTTATTTAAAATAGTTGGGATTTTTGAACAGAGACCACAAAAAAAACGAAATTATGTTTTCTTCAAAGGCAAGGTGTACCGAAAAATTCAGCTAGTAGTACTGGGCACTATTTTTGTTATATCAAGGGCGTATTGCTGATTTTCTAGCTTATATTTTATATATACAACATTACTAAATAAATTTAATAAGAAAAAAATGATCTCATTTGATGACAAAAAATTTTGTTCTATTTATTTTTAAGATTTAAATGACTGATGTTACATAAAGCAAGTATAAATATTAAAAGTAAACTATAAATATTACAATTACATGTATATAAGAAAAATGTTATTTCATGAAAACAATTCATTGCTTACATTTGTCAGTTCATATCGCAAATTTAAATATCACGTATTTTGAATTAATTGAACAATCCAATTATTCCCAAGATCTGGGCCTAAAAACAATATTTTTATTTTAAAAGTTAAACTGGGAGTGCAAAAATTATAGTTAGAAGAAAAAGGAATGAGTAAATTTATTTTAACGAAACAAACCTTAGCACATTGTATTATTTGGAAAAGTTAAAGAAATAGGAGTATCGGATGAGAAAAGTAAATAGGATTTAGAGTATCTTATTGGAAAAATAAATATCAACATAACTTTGCTTTCCATGTTGGATAGAAAATATTTCAAACATTTTGATTAAATTTAATAAGCATCTTACATTTTTTTATCG